TGCTCTCTGCTGTGGTGGCTTGACTTTCCTTCTTCTTTCTGGCTTATCTCCTTTCTTCCTATTCGCTCTTCTTATTTACCTTCCACCTTCCACCTTCAACTTCTGTGCTCTTCTCCTTCTCCCTCTCCTTCCGTCGCTCAATTCTTCTTTCTTCCGTCCCGTTTCCTCACAAGGTTTGTCGGTACTCGCAGGGTTTCTCTGTCTCTGTTCTCTATTCCCTCTACTCCTTCCTGCACTTCTCGCGAGACTTCTCCGCGAGTTTCTCAGTTTTCTGCTACTTTCTCTTTCTCTTTCTCCTTCCTCTGCGTTCCGGTGTCTCCCGCTGTCCTCCCGGTTCTCCGCGCCCCTCACGGGGGAGTGGTGCGGGCAAGGATTGGCAAGGGTCAGGGACGGAGTGGCAGGAAAGGGTCTGTGGACGGAGGATACAAGCGAGACTGTGTTCGAGCTGTAGGTAGGCTTTGCGAGGGTGTGCGAGTGAGTCGCGGCTGGTGATTGAGGGGGTAGAAGGGGGAGAGAAGGGGGAGAGAAGGGCAGAGGGGAGAGGGACGTTCTCGTTCTCGTTTCAGTTCTATTTCCTCCTCCTTCTCCCCTTTTTCTCCTCAGATCTCCTCTGGTCTCCTCTGGTCTCCTCTAGTCTCCTCGCTTCCTCGCCTCTTCACCTCCTCCTATGCCTCCCAAATCTGTGCGTTTCTTTGCTTCTCGCTTCTCGCTTCTCCTCTGAGATTCCACTTCAGCTCCTTTCTCTCCTTTCTCTCCTCTGGTCTGCTGTCCTTTTAATCTTTAAATCTTCTGAATCTCTGATCTCTAGTTTTCCACTTGGTTATTACACCATAGAAGCCCAATATTTAGCGTCTGGCTGCTTTTTACTTTCTTCCTGTCTCTGCCTGTCTCTTTAATAGATCACTTAAAGGGCTGCCTTCATGGAGTCTCTTTCTCTTTCTTCTTTCTTTTTCTTTTTCTTCCTTTTCAAATTCCACCTCTGGATGCTGGGCTGCTTCTTCCTCCCCTTTATATTTTTCTCACTGTCCCATTCAATCTGTTCTTAATTTATCATTCTTTATATTATACTATTACTACTGTTGAGGCGGCTGACGGGCTCCCCCGAATCCTCGGGTGCCCGCGTTTGTCCCCCACCCTCAGTCCGTCTCAGGGATTTCCTTCATGGAGGTTCACGGACCGAGGGGTAACACTGCCCTGCTATCTCCGTTGGGCAGGGGGAGATACACTCACCCTTTGGGGTCAACAAACTGGGGCAAATCCTGACGCGCGTCAGTGGTTTGCTGCGCCCGCCATCTTGCCGCCGCCAGAAGTCCCTTTAATGGTTATTATTTAATATAATTGCTTAGTTTAATATAGTGTATAATGTTTTGTATTGTTCTTTGTTTAAATTTTTATGGTTTTCATTTTATAAGTATTGAATGTTTGCCTGTTCTGTTGGAAACCGTCCTGAGTCTCCACGGGGATATAGGGCAGGATACAAATAAAGCATTATTATTATTATTATTATTATTATTATCTTTTATAATAAGTCTGGCCTTGATGTGTGGTGAAAACATTCTTTACAACTTGGTCAGCTAATGTAGGAAAGGACTCATCCTGGGGTAACACTTGCTTACACAGAGATCAGTGGTTACTTCTGATTCCCATTGCCAGTGGGCTGATGGAACCACTACATAGAATCATAGAATCATAGAATCAAAGAGTTGGAAGAGACCTCATGGGCCATCCAGTCCAACCCCCTGCCAAGAAGCAGGAATATTGCATTCAAATCACCCCTGACAGATGGCCATCCAGCCTCTGTTTAAAAGCTTCCAAAGAAGGAACCTCCACCACACTCCGGGGCAGAGAGTTCCACTGCTGAACGGCTCTCACAGTCAGGAAGTTCTTCCTCATGTTCAGATGGAATCTCCTCTCTTGTAGTTTGAAGCCATTGTTCCGCGTCCTAGTCTCCAAGGAAGCAGAAAACAAGCTTGCTCCTCCTCCCTGTGGCTTCCTCTCACATATTTATACATGGCTATCATATCTCCTCTCAGCCTTCTCTTCTTCAGGCTAAACATGCCCAGCTCCTTAAGCCGCTCCTCATAGGGCTTGTTCTCCAGACCTTTTATCATTTTAGTCGCTCTCCTCTGTACACATTCCAGCTTGTCAATATCTCTCTTGAATTGTGGTGCCCAGAATTGGACACAATATTCCAGATGTGGTCTAACCAAAACAGAATAGAGGGGTAGCATTACTTCCCTAGATCTAGACACTATGCTCCTATTGATGCAGGCCAAAATCCCATTGGCTTTTTTTGCCGTGTTTTAGTTCCATGTTGAAAGAAAATACGCAGGATGCTTAACCCAAAATAGGAGACATCACTTTGGAGAGTTCCTTCAATCCACAAGCTACCACAGACATAGAGGACTGAATCACTATTTATGCATATACCATTATGTGGTGAGAAGTCTTCCTGTCAAAATCCAGACAATATAGAAGTATACATGTGGTGTCAGCATTTATGCAGCTTGAGGAAAGGGTTAAACTAAAGCTATCATCCTGACAGTTCTGGCATCAATGACTCCTGCGTCTCTTAGCTACTATCAGCAGTCTCCAAGCCTGATGCACAGGTTTAAATGAGGTTCTACCCATCATGAACCAAAATGCAAAAAACATGACTTACTGGCATTGTTAAACCTGAAGTAATAGTTTTCTTTTTGTTCAACGGAGTAGAATTCCCTCCCTAAAACATTGTAAAGTTTATGGCATATGAATTAAACAGCATAGCATAAATGAAATGTTATTCTCTCTACACAAGGAACATAAAAATCTAAAATGGAAATGGCTTGGCATTGTTTCTTCTTTTCCCCCTAAAGAGCCACACACCAAAAAAACCCCATAGATTTCTAAAAAGGATTAATCAAATAATTGCTCTTTAAGCATTCAGTTGATGTGCTATTGTTTATAGAGTACTGTCCTCTGTACATTCCAATAATAAATCTTCATGGCATTCACATTTGAAAAGAGAACCCTCTAACATAAAGGCATTCAACAAGACAGCTGAATAAATAGATAATGCAAACTCATGCAGATTTCAAAGTCCCTGCGAAGAGATGTGCTCTTTATTCAAGTAGACTTTCAAGGCTACCCCAAAGCTAATTTCCACCATGTGTGTTTGGTCATCAAATGTTGGGAGGACAGATGGTCATAAAATGCCAGAATTGTTTAGTTTCAAAAGTTACATGCCAAGGTCCTATATAAGGAATTATAGGTATGAAGTTGCAAATTTGAGGGCTGCCTCTTAACATTCAATGTAGAATTCAGTCAAATCGCATTCCTTTGCAGTTACATACCTTCTATTAAACCCACCTTGGTAACTTTTAAAATTAGTAACTTCTTTTATTTATTTTTACTTGCCCCCCTTCCCATTTTTATTTGAGCCTTTCAGAGTTTCTGGTTCTCATTAACACAAAGGGAAAAAAATCACATTTCCCAAAATATACTGTAAGATTAACACTGCAGACTTAATCTGGTTTAAGTCATTTCCTGCTGATTAAAACTACAATCTGTGGTGGGTTTTGTTCATAGAATTCACAAAGGATTTCAAAGACAAAGCAAGGTTTCAAAGTATCCCTGGAAACACAATGTTATCAAGAATGGAAATGGACAGCCACTCTCAGATAAGCACACTTTCCAACCTTCTATCAGGCATTGATTGAGCTTCAGTTTTTTTACTTTCACCCAGTACATTGCAAATTCTTATCCATTCAGATCCCCACATCTTAGAAAAGAGCACACCTGCACACTGATGGTCCATCACTCCAAGTTTCTGAATATCCCCCTCACAAGACGTCTGAAGCACTTAAACCACACAGAAAACAAAACAGCCCTCCAATGTCACATGCCATAACTATAATGGGACAAACCAATGGTCTTTAAAATCCCAACTGGAAACTACACCTGATAACTACAAGTGTGGTGTCCTTATCCCACCTTGGAAAGGCAATCCGGAAAAATATCATTGACAATGCTATCAGTAGTGAGATCGAATAAAATGTGTATAGGAGAATCTGTACATGTAAAGCCAACATCTGGTGAGAGGGCAGAGACTGTTCTCTCTTTCCTTTCTCTGTGTACATTTGAAAGGGGAGAGGTTGCGGACATGGGTTTATGCTTCTCTGTCACCAAGAAAATTCCAACCACAGGCCGCTGAGAACTGTAGGACAGTTCCCTTTCCTTTCCACAACAGAAAGTGTCTATCAGGATGTTCAAACCAATTTCTGGCTCAACTTCAGTCTAGAGTTCACAGTAAAATGGATCTAAATATTTATGTACTTTCAAGTTATATGTTGAGTTGTGATAATTCATATATTTCATAGGGTTTTCTTAAGCAAGGACTACTCAGAAGAGGTTTTTCCAACTCCTTCCTCTGAAATATAGCCTACAGTACCTGAAATTCATTGGTGAGCTGCCATTCAAGTACAAACCAGGATCAAAATCAAATAGAGTATGGAGACTTTAGAAACCAATCTAAAAAAGTCTGGAGTTATAACACTAACTTGACCAAACATCCTGCTCAAAAATATTATCAACCAGCTGGTAGAATATTCATCACAGGAGTCCAAAGCGGCTATGATCAATTCCAGATTTTTCTCCTATAAAATAAATGCATTTTGTACAGACCATTCTATCTCTGTTTATATTTCAAGATCAAAAGTGTACTTGGTGTGAAAGCTTTGGATCAATCCTATCTTTATCAGATTTAAGAAGCCATGTCTGATTACTTCATTTCCAGAACTAGAGTTTGCTCAACATGTATGCTTTGCATTGATTAAACCTTTGATCAAATAAAAGGGTTTTTTGTTGTTTGCAAAACCAGGATTTTAAATCCTTGGAAAGATTTGACAGTATAAGTCAAACCATTTATTCAAAAGGCCTTCAATAGGAAGGTTCTAAAAGAACTTTTTTGAAGATTGGATGCCCACTTTTGAACAGATCTTCCCCCATTCTGTCTTTTGAAGGTTTACGTGGTGCAATAGCCTTTGCACTGGCTATTCGGGACACAGAATCTCAACCTAAACAAATGATGTTTACAACCACCTTACTAATTGTATTCTTCACAGTCTGGGTATTTGGAGGAGGCACCACACCAATGCTTACATGGCTCCAAATCAGGTTAGTGGTATCACATCATAATCTAAAATTGAAAAAGAATTGCTTTGTTACAAGCTATGTGTGTTCTGTCTTTTCCCTTATCTTTAGCCTTTGTTGTAGCTCATAAATGATACAAAGGAAACTGGTATCTAGAGTGCAGGGAATTTAAAAGGCTGGACCCAGACATTGGAGGATTAAATCATAAGGTACGTACTTGAACTGGTGCACAACTGGCTCGGTTACAGTTTTGAGAATCAAACAAGACAAATCTTAAGCTCGCATTTTAAAAGTGATGTATTTGCAATAGCATGCGCTAATCCTCAGCAGGCTACCTTGAATTCAGTGTGCTTTGCTTGATGGTTGGCCACTAGAAGATAAACACAAACTTAAATCAGCCTGCCTGAAGGTTCAAGCACATATCTCTGAGAAAACCGTATTGCGAAAAGGAAAATATGTTAATCACAAAGCATATGTATTCCACTTAACATCTCATTTGACCTTTATTCTTTGCAGGTGCTTTCCTATTTGGCTTATTTTCTTGGAGTGATTGCCTAGTTGAGTTGGGCTAATAGCTTGACCTTTGAAAAATTCTTGCAAATATAGTCATTCAGTGTTGAGTACAAAGAAACTGTGACTATAGAAGTAATTTGAGTTGTTGGTATGGAATTCAGCAAAACATGGAAGATAGTAAACTCTCCTTCTTTGGCAGTCTCTGAATAGTGGTTAGAGGGCCATCTCTCAGGAATTCTTTGTATTTCTGCATAGCAGGGGGCTGGAATAAATGGTCCTTGGAATCCTTTTCAACTGTGGATATTTAGTTCCCTAAGCTGTTCCTCCTAAAGCTTAGTTTCCAGACATTTTTACCATTTAATCGGTTTCATTTGAATATGTTCCATCTTTCTTGAACTGTGATTCCCAGAAGTGGGCATAGTATTGCAGGTGAGATCAGATGAAATGCAATAGAGTGGTGGTTCTACAACTTCCCTTGATCTGGAGAAAACACTCCTCAACCTACATTGGCTTTTTGGCAGCTGCATCACACTGTTGACTCATCTTTTGAATTTAAGACCCACTAAGATCCCTGGATCCTTTTCACATATACTATTTTCAAGCCAGGTATCACCCATCTTATATTTGTATTGTAAGATATTAGAATATCAAAAAGAAGAGTAAATGAGAAACTTTCACCTTTGACATCTTATTTTTCTATCAAAAGTTTCAAAGAAGAATTTATATGAGTCTCTCTTGCTACAGTCTGAATGTATAGAGCTCAGAATCAGATTTAAATCCCCTCCCCACTTTTCTGAGGTTTATTGTATATTGTTTTGCTTATCTGAATATGACTGAATAATACATTTTTGCAGGAAAATGGAGCATCTCTACATCAGCAATTCATAGATTCCAGAGGTTGCCCTGATAATGGATTTTCCCCTAGACCAGTTAAATAAGAACCTTATCACGTTTAGATCCTTAAACTGGGGGACAGTGAGGCAAATCTGTTGGACAGCGGGGGAAACCACCATTAAGCATTCCACATCAACCCCCCTTCAACTCCCCATTACCACCTGGCTTCCCCCCACCTCCTACACTATCCTCAGCTTAGGTAATGAGAACATAGGAAGCTATCTGTGTTCTCAGGACTCTGTCCTACAATGCTGCCAGGACAGAGCCAGGATGCCAGAAATAGTCTTGCATCATGCACTGGGCTCCAGCAAGCTCTGTCCTGGCAGCGTCGTAGGATAGAGCCCATGTGATGAGGTTGTAGGTGGATCTGTACTGTAACCATTGGCCATGAGTTATATTGTGAGTAGATCTCACTGTTTCAAAATCTAAGCCATGGCTGACTAACTTCCAGGTGTTACTGTTTTATGCTGGCTTTGTCCTAGCCGGCATAGTCAGGAATGAAAGATGCTGACAGATTGGGTCCAGCAACATCTAGAAGACTATGCTTTCACCATCCTTGATTTAAGCTAGTTTGTCTGGGCTGGTCAGATATACTACATCATAGACCATGTTGACAAATGCAGCCCATAAACCAAATGCATCACACAAGGTCATTTTGAGAATGCAAAGAACTCTTTAGGCCCCACAAAAAACATTTAAAACTTTAATACCCGACAAACTCTGTAGGAAGTATGGGGAGAAATTTCACCATATCTTGCAAAGGTATTTGATGCACAGGAAATGACTTTAAAAAAAACATAAATCCACTTCTAGATTATTTTCTAATTCTAAAACAGCTTCTCCCACCCTAAAACAACTTGGGTGGATATGAATTCTAAATGGTATAGGGATAAATTTGAAGGAAGCAAGGTTTCCTGAGACTCAGTTATCCATCCCTATGTGACAGAAGCCAAAGAAACAATTTTGCTTAAATATTATTTGATGCCACTGGTTCTCCCATGCATTTTTCATACTTTCACTTTATATTCTGCTTGCATCTTAGAGCTGGAAATATTAACTGACAGGCCACCATTATTTATTGCTTTATTTATTATCTGTAAATTCAAAGTGTGACTTTGCACTACATTTTAATGCTTGTTGTTTTTTCTGATGGGTTTTTCAGTTCTGATGACACTGCATTATTTATATGTGTTGTAAATTGTAAACCATTTAGACATGACATTCAGACTGTCTTCTCTTATTGTTTCTTATTCAAGAAAAATATAGTTTGGTTAAATAAAAGATTATCTATACTGAGATACTGCAATATAGCAATTTCTTTTAAGCATACATATTGTCATATCTCCAGTATCATCTCCTATCATCATTATGGTTTAGTGTAGCAGCTAGCAGCACAGTGTAAACTGGAAGTTCTTGATTCCAATCTGAGTTCATCCCATTAACTCACTTGGTGGTTTTAAGCAAACTATTATATCCCAAAGTACTGAGATGACGTAAAGCATGTGCTTGGAGCATTTTGAAAAACAGTTTCTTTGGTGCGGAGCATCCCTCTAAAATATATGTTTATAATCAAAGGCTTATAACACAAAGCTTGAGGGCAGTGAAGTAATCAAACAGAGTGCTATTTATTTAGCTAATTATTTATTTGAAATAGTTCTGTGCCAACAAGGTGGAACACAAAGTTAAACGTAATAGATCTATTTATTTCTCTCCTAACATGTTTGCATTCTTCTCCCTTTGAACTATCAAAGCTTTAAACCTGGCTACAGAATGCAAATAAATTTCCAAATGGTTAAGGACAAATCAGTGTACTTGTGCATGCTGACTAGTAATTTGAATGGTTAAGCAAACTATGGAATTTTCATCTATGATTTATTTATCATGTGATGTGGACCTGGCAGCAGCCGTTTCAGATCTCCCCTGGAAAGTTTTCTTTTGTAGTCAGCTCTCTGACTCAGGCCCCTTCCACACAGCTGAACAAAATCCCACATGGTCTGCTTTGAACTGGAATATATGGCAGTGTGGACTTAGGACCCTTCCACATCTATATAAATAAAAATGTAATGTTCTTTTGTGGGATTAACATAACTCAAAAACCACTGGACGAATTGACACCAAATTTGAACACAATACACCTATCAGGCCAATGAGTGACCATCACTCATAAAAACACTGAAAACACACAGCAGAAGAGATTTTTAAAAGCCAAAAAACAAAAATGCATTACAATGCATGTGGAAAACTACATATATACACAAACACATATATATACACATACATACAAATATATACACATATATACACTCAAAAAACACATATACACAGACTGGGCCACAACAATGCGTGGCAGGGGATGGCTAGTAGCTGAATAAAATCCCACATTAACTGCTTTGAACTGGGTTATACAGTGTGGACTCAGATAACCCAGTTCAAAGCAGATATTGTGGGATTTTCTGCCTTGATATTCCAGTTATATGGCTGTGTGGAAGGGCCCCACTGTGGGAGAGACAAACCAACGAGCTGGCTCCCACTGGTGTAACACATCACAACACATAAGTCACAGGCCAAAGATCCATGGTTAATTTAGACAATAAAATAGTCGGGATGCAGCATTATGCTTTTTGTACACATTTAACCCTGCTTTATGATAATACTAAACCTAGCCACATTCATAATTATACCTACAACCTCAAAACAATGTCTCTGGCATCACAGGTCAACAATCCTGCAGGCTTTTTAACTCTGTTCTGTTTTGATGCCTAAAGCTCAGCATGCAATCATATCAGCAGCTGCTAGACTCAGAAATAATACAGTTCAAAATATACCAGGCAGTGACTCATGCCAGGAAACCTAAAACCTGTGCTTAAATGTACTCTGGTGTGTATTGCAGACAAGACAGAAGACAATAACAACTGCCTTGAACATTTTATTAACCAGGGCAAATATTTGGCAATTGTATTTGCTACATCTCGCACCATGATGACCTTACCACCAAGACCATTGTTTAAAATTGGAAGTCCAGTTCTCTTACTTACTCAAGATTTTCCAGATCTCAAAAAACTTTTCCTTCCCAATAGGCAAGCTGCTGGTTCTAAAGAATTATTTGTTTTAATATCGTATTTCCGATAGACAAAACTGTTTAGTCAACCTCTCGTCTATATAACTATAGGGACTGATATAGACAGATCTTTTTTGGTGAAGGGGAATGCCTTGTCTCATAATGGGGCTATAGTTTCATCAGTATGCACTGGTCTGGCAAAGTTGAGTGTCCAATTGTACTGCGTAAATCCACACAGAGATTGAATTCCAGGACAATTATTGGCGGGTGTTGTTTAAGGATGTAATTCTTCACTAATTTTGTTTTCAGAGGAATCATACAGAATATTCTTACTGAAAGAAAGTTTTCAAAAACTATACAGTTTTCAACGACTTTGCAAAGTTTAGGACTTATTCAATGCCAAATTTGCATATATGTTTTTCCCTTGGAACATTATTCAATATTATTTTTCAATAAAATATTCAAAATGGTTGAAAAACATCTCTTTTTTAGTGCAGGGAGACTTCAGGAAGAGTCTGAACGGAGACGAATCTTATCAGTTTGGGGTTTTTAGAACTTA